AAAAAAAGTAAAAATAAATAATTTACCAAACATATAAATTACAAAATTTTCCACAAAAAATGCTGGCAGGAGCATTGTCAAAGTGAGCATAATGCTGGACGTGCTTTCGGTTATTTCAAGCGAATCTGTTTTAGCAAGGCTTAACAGAGGTGCTGATACCACCAACTATGTGTCCACACCATACCCCTGTCGGGTTTTTGGCCTTTTTTTGCAATTTTTTATAGTAAAATAGCAGATCTGATCCTCCATCTTTATATAATGAACACTATAATTCTATAACTTAAAATTCATTCATTTAGATCCCAAAAAGGAACCTTTCTTCTTGCAATTTAATCCCTAAACTTGCAAAAAATATTCTATTAATCCTAAAACTCATATTATTATACATTCAAGTCTTTTTGTGCGCAAATAATAAAAACTATGTGAAAATTACTGAAAATACATGTTGTCCATGTAAATAGTAATAAAATTAAAGTTAAAATAATATATTATAACATATAAAATGCTTCTAATCAACTACCTTGAAGGATGATGGTGACCTTGAAAGTTGAAAGATGATGGCGAACCTGAAACACAATGGGTTTTGGGTTTGACTTCAGGTACTTCACCATTGCTTACGCGGTTTCTAACACCCAAATCATAAGGATCACCATTTTATTGCCTTTTTTTTTCCCTATATAAATCAAGAAATGGTTGATAAAAAGAAATTTAAGTTCTTCTTTAAATTTGGTATGGATCTGCTGGTTTATTATTATTATTATTTGTTTCTTGAGTTCTTTTTGTGCCTCTCCTTTTGTATTTCTCTAAATTTCTTCATTTGTTATCTTACTCTACTCTAATATGGGTTTCTTTGGTTGTTCCTTTTTCTTTTGTTATTTTTTGCTTCAGCATTCTACTGGATGTAGGATTTTTTGTGTCTTTGATCTTGGATTTCATGGTTAAGCAGTCATTGAAATTAGTGGAGGAGGTGACATTGCTCAAGATTTTGGGAACAAATTTGATTTGGAATTGAAATGTGGAGAGGAACGAGGAGAACAAATTTGCTGTGAAAATTTAATTTTGTAGAGGAATGGAAATAACAAAAATTTGTGTTGAAAATGGTTAAATATTTATAAAAAATTTATGTTTAAAAAATTAAAAAAATTACATTAAAACCGTTAAATTTAATTAAAAAAATAAATAATTAAATATTACATATTAAGTGGGTCTAGTAAAATTATTATGGTAGTTTAATATTTTTTTGGCCCACATTATCATTTTTTTCAGCATTGCATTTCCAGTCATTTTGTGGAGAAAAATATAATTTTTTAGTCCACACCATCGATTTTTTCTTACAATTGCATTTCCATGTCTTTTTATGGAAAAAAACCAACTTGTTCTCTTAATTAACAAGCCATCTCAGCAAAAAGATAATGAAAGGGCTAAAAAATGATTAAAAAGTAAATTTTAGGATTGAAAATAATTTTATAAGCTCAAGGACAATTTTTTTTTTTAAATATAGGGACGAAAATTGAGGTTTTTACCTTTTAGAAAGAAAAGAAAGGGGGAAGACGTCGGTATCGAACCCTCAACGTCCAAGTCCAACTTGAAATGTTTTGCCAGTTGGTGAACTGACGGCATGAATAACCGAAAAATATATTTATAAGTTAAATTATACAATAACTCCACCAAACGAATCCGATAATTACGCGTCTTATGATTATATAACCATTACCCTTATAAAAAAAGAAAAAAGTTAAATTATACAAAGACGTAAAAATGACACCAAGGCAGAAAATCTCGTTCTTTCAACCTGTCAATTGTAGCTGTGTGTTTCTATCACTTGCAGTAATTATTACGTATCTGGTTAAATTGATGATTTAAATGGTTAAATTAATTTAATTAAAACTAAATGTCAAATCTAATTGACTTGGTTTGAATTTTAAAACAGTGATTATTGATGTCTCATTTTTTCATAAGTTCAAAATATTACCTTATTAATAATCACCATCAAAGGATTATATATTTGATAATCCTTAATTATACAATATTTTATGAAAGTTAAATATTAAAACTTAGTTATTCTTATGATAAAAAAATTTAGTAATTCTTAATTTTTTAAGAAAATTGTTTTTTTTTTTATTTTTTTTTTATATAATTTAAAATTTAACAAAGGACAAGTATTACCGCCCATCACCCAACTCTGTAAATTTAGATCGACCCTCAAGTCCACAATTGAAGTTCGCCCTCACTAAATGACTAGTTTTGGTTATAAAAGTTTTATGGAAGAGTCATGCACTTTCCATTCAAGCTTCCGAAAGAGAAAGATGGAATTATCATTGCTGTTTTTATATCTACACTGCTTCATATGCGAAACTGCGGCTGCTTTTCCTCCTCTAATTAGCCTAGAGGCTTACAACTTGATGACAATGACTGGAGCATTACATTCACATTTTTTTCAATTTAGACCGCACGAGATCAAATAAATAATTATTGTACCTTTTTTTTTTTGTCAAACTTTTGTTTTATTAAAAAATATTTTACAATTTAAATTATTTTATATTATAAATATTAATCATTTAATAAAAAAAGTTTTTTAATATTAAGAATTTTCTCTCATCAAACAATTTTTATTT